TGAAAATCAGAGCATTGCTGATTTAAAAATAGTCTAACAGAAGACAGTAGTACCTCCCCTACTAGCCTTATTAACTTGAGTCTATACTAAACTTCAAGACTGTATCAAATATCTAAAAGGGTGTTACAAAGAGGAGGGAGAAAAATTGTTCTCCTTGACCACTGAGGATGGGACAAGCAGCAATGGGTGGTTTTGACTGGATTGTAGGAAAAACTTCCTAATTATCAGGGTGTTTAAACACTGGAATAAATTGCCTAAGGAGGTTGTGGAATCTCCATGCATCCCAGCAAGTGTTGATCATTTTTTGAGACATTGAACTGGGAACTTATGGTCAGCTGATTTAGCCATTATGATCACAAATCTTTTTCAATCACTTCGTCCTATGATCGAATTTCCTTTAAGTAAGGTTTACATTCTTTGTTCCAAAATGTATTTGCTTACACACAACTTACTAGGTGATTCAGATCACTCAAACAAGGTTTTGCCCTCTATCATTGATGGTTCCCTCACTGTGTGTGTGTCACTCACCAACTTCGAGTAATCATTGTATGTTCTCTCCTAGGTTGTTGATAAAAATATCAATAGCATAAGACCAAGAACTGCTCCCTGCAGGATTACCTCATTAGAAAATTCTCCACACACAATGAAACCTGCAGCTCCCATTGGCCAGGAATGGCAATACTTAGCCACTGGGCACGGATTGCCCTTACCCGCATAGATACAGGTAAACAAAGTCTTGTGGCCAGCTAGTAGCTTGCCCTTATAAGCTGCAACCCAGAGTTTGAAAACGAATATCTATTACATCAGGGATGGGGAATCTTTTATGAATCCAGGGCCACTGACCTACAGAAAAATCAGTCCGGGGCCACACACAAGTGAGAAGGCCCTCCACCCCCCAAATCCTCACTGATATGGCACCCAACTGGGAAGAAACACTCCCCCATTTCCCTTCCACACCAGAGCCTAGGAGGGCCTAGCCTAGTAGATTGTGTGCTCCAACCCTGTGGTGGGGCAGCAGGGAGAGGGAACAGCTGAGCACAGGGCAGTCATCCAGGAGAGGTTCAGGTACGGCCCAGCTGATTGGCAGAACACCCACAGCTTCCCATAGCTGGCAGCATGTGTTTCTATTGGTGGTGCACAGCTGCATGTGCCTTGGCGCACACAACAAATTTATTCCACAAACAGATAGACAAAATTAGAGGGAACATTGGCCTTGAGCCTTGGGGGCCTGATCCAGACAAGCTGGGGACTGTATCCAGCCCCCAGGCTTGAGATTCCCTACCCCTATATTACATGAACACTTACCTTTATTTTGATAAATGCTCAATTTCCCCCTTTCCAATTTGTTATTCAGAGTCCTAACTACCCATGAGAAGACAGATTCCTTGGAGACCACACTATACAGCCTCTCACTCTTTACAGAAAGTGGACCAAAGTTCCAAGTGCCCAAACACTTCACAACTTACCTATCTTACTTCCATCATAATATGCCTTCCTTTGGCTTGTGAGGCAGAAAAAATCAGAGATCACTTAGAAGCATGCCTGTTTAAGTCATTTAAAATCCAAAATATATCCTGCTGATGCAGTGTCATTAAGTGCTGATATTAAACATCACCAGTTGATCCTTGCCTGTTGATTTCAGAAGCCTATCCAATCTAAATTATGGCTTATGGTTTGGCTCAAGGAAAGATAGCTCCATTTTCTTGCGAGTTGTGCTGAGCAACTGTTCACAGGTGGGTTCTATACGTATCTCTGTTCCCTTGGACTAGTAATCTTCAGAAATATCTTCCCGATTCCTACACTGAGGGCCTGATATCAATTTTAAAACTGCTGCCTGGAATTCCTCCCTGTCCTTCTCTTTTTGGTGACAACCCTTGTCTGTCTCCAGCAATGTAGAGGGCCACTGACTATTGGGTTGTCGTCTAATTCCATGTTTAGTTTTAACAGTATTTAAAATATGCAACAATGATAGGAATGAGTAAATTGAGATTAAATGTTGGCTGGATCAATCTCCGATAGGAATGAGTAAATTGAGATTGATCCAGCCAACATTTAATCTCCATGGCTACTGCTTCTCAGATCGTGTGCTCAATATGCATGGCAGCAAGTCAAAATTTTAAGGGAGAAAGATACTCTTTTCTGGTAGCTTTGGAATATCTAATAAGTGTTCTTCTCCAGTCCTTTTCCTAAAGGCACAGGTCATTGAATAGATTCCAGTACAGCAATCTAACGGAATAAAGGTTTAAGAAAATATCCAGGGATTTAACTCTGCATTCTTAGACATTCTTGCCATTGTTCAGTTGAGCTAGGAGGAAATGTAGTGGTTCCCCTAAGCTGCTGACAGGAAAATATCATGAAAAAGCAAAAAACAGACTTTATTACCAAAAATTGGGATCATTATTAAAGGGGATGGGATCACTTGATTACTTGTTCGATTTACTCACTTTGGGGCATCTGGCACTAGTCACTGTCAGAAGACAGGATACTGAGTTAGATGGACCCATGATCTGACCCAGTATGGCCATTTTTACATTCTTTTCTGCAGTCTTCCAGGTATTGTCCACAACTCGGCTGTAATTTGACAGTCATCTTGCAATTCAAGTAGGACCTAAGTCATCGAGGACTTATTTCTAAAGTCAGTTTTCCCAATTAAGGTGCCATTTTTAAGATGGCAATAGTGTTCACGATGTGTTTTTCAAACAGGAAGAGTGTCCCTGAACTCAAATAGTATGCAATCTAAAAAGACAAAAAGAAGATGCATATAAGATAGTGGGATGCAACTCAAGTGATTGGCATGAAAGGCATGTGTCTTACTAGCTATAATTAAGTTGCAACAAATTCTGTCCTCCATTTATAGTGTAGCCCTTTTGCCTTCCCATCACCAATACCCAATGTTGGTTTGAGTTTCCTTTTGTCTCTCTCTCTCCCCTCATGAAATAAATACTTCAGTGAGTCGATAACTAGTCAGGAAATTTGACAGTATTGTATCTGCAGGAGAGCTTGAAATGTGGAGAGGATAACTACTTTGTTGACCAAGCTCAGGAAAGGCATCCATGCTAAAAAACAAAATGGAGACATTTGTGGGAGAAATGGACATACTGTAGGATGAGTTACTGTTCACACAGCAGATAGGACAGGAAAGAAGAAATTAGAGTTATGTAAGCTTTCAGAACAAGTGAACAGAACCGTGATGTACCAGAGACGGATTTACAGAGGAGAGCAACAGTTGACCAAGGAATAAAACTAGGAACACTGAAATATTCTTAGATGAATCAATGTCTCAGGCAAAAGTTTGAGGAAGAAATTTTAACTATAAAACTCTGCTTGAGGTCTCATTTTCTGGTGTGCCACTTTTCTATTGCTACACCTACTTTGTTCATTCTTCAGTCAAAAATAATGATCCTTGACATCAAACCTCTTTACCGTCATACTATTTCGTTCTAGGGATACTTACAACATCTGAGAAAGTAGCAGGAGTAGTTAAATTCTTAAGCACATTTTCATGAAAATGGTAATCTTGTCTACTAACATAACAAAAGAAAATGTATCCAAAATGATGGGTCTCTGAAGAGACACTTTGAAAGTTCAAAAGAGCTGTTAGTAGTGCATATTTAACTACTGTTCAGAAGTGCAAATGGTATGACAAATTAATGCAGTTAAAAACAGTTATTTGTCTGAAATGAGTTAATTTTCAAAGGTAAGAAGTGTGCAAAAATTCAGTTCAGAGAAGCAGACAGTATATTGCATATGGATTTGTCAGCAATTAATTGCAGGTGCAACTGATGTAATTCAGAGCTAATTATCTGACTACACCCACAAATCAGGTAACCGTATACACGTGACATCTGAGGTCTTCCATTTTGTATTTGCCAGGTTGAGGTCGTGTTCAAAGCCAGGCTCATTAAATATTCTATTAGGTTTTATTTAACTAGAAACAGAAAGGTACAGAGTACTCTGTTGTCCTTAAAGTACGTATTAAAAGTTCTCATACTTAGTAAATTAATGTGCAATACTTTAATTTGCCAGCAGAGCTGACAGCTTATTTTTCAGATGAGTTGACCCAGAAGAACCACGGGTTTTATAAAAATGTAAATACTCTTGCAGCCAAACTGAACACTTAAGTCTGTCAAGAGCTAGCAAAGGGTCATAGCTGCACACTGAAGAAAAGGGTTTACTTCCCAACTTCTGCCCCTAGGTTCAAAATGACAATTTTTTGTAGGTGCCAAATATTGGGGAAAATATTGGCCGTCTACCATATTGCTCCTTGCAAAGCCTATATAATTCTGATGCCTGAACTGGAACTCTACATAGGAACTCACTCTACCTTCAAGATGTTTTGGAATCAGATCTTTATTTAATGTCTTGGGCCCATTTCTAGTTAGTATCATACTTAAAAAGAATGAAAGAGCAGTATCTATTTGAAAAGTTACATATACACAACACAAGATTTGTAAAAATATACAACATACTACACTTTACAAGTGCCGTGTTAGAATATGAAGGCTTAATCCCTTTAAACTGTTTTCTATTAGAACAGAAATTTTGTTAAGGCAAATACTTTCCAATATAAGTAGTTCTGGAAATAGCTGCTGAATCACATTCCTCACACACTTTAGGATAAGAATAAAGATGCTGACTAAGGGTACGTCTAGACTACATGCCTCTGTCGCCAGAGGCATGTAGATTAGGCTACCAGACACAGGAAAATGAAGCGGCGATTTAAATAATTGCCGCTTCATTTAAATTTACATGGCTGCCGCGCTGAGCCAACAAACAGCTGGTCAGCAGTTTGTCGGCTATATCTGGTCAGCTGTTTGTCGGCTCAGCGTGGCAGCCCTGTTAAAGAGGCATGTAGTCTAGACGTACACTAAGTTGTTACACAAAACTCATCCCCAACAACTACTAAATTCCTAGCTTCAGACATCAGTATTTTTTGCAATTCGATACTTTCAGTTAAGTAAGAATTCTCTCCATACACAAAAATATAAAAAACAAAAAAGTTATCAGATAGTAATTTATTAGCTGTCTAAGTTAGAGAAAAGCCAGTCATTTGCAATTGCATAAAGGGAATCTCAGCTAGTCAACATTCTTATACTATTTCAAATAATACAGCAGTGATCAACCTCAGTGTGGAATGGACCCAGTGCTAATGCATGAAGACAGTAGCGAAGAACATCTAAGCTTCCAACCTCACTGACTCCAGTACTGAACGTGCATCTTTAAATTCTTCAGCTTCTTCCAACTCCTTTTCATTTTCCTGAAATTTATTGAAATAAAAATTAGATTTCTCTACACAGCTTTAACTACTTTAAAAATAATTCGGACATGCTTTCAATGCAGTAACTGAGATGGTATATTAAAATTCCACTTTTTATTACTGAGTGTTAGATATCACTTGGTCCTTAGAACCAAGTAGTTATCTCTTTTCCCCTCCATATTTTTTAAAATCAGATTCTGTCCAACATCATGTGGCTACATTTAAACTCCAGGTGCCATCTTAAGTAAAGGAAGTCCACAAAACATGAAGGGCAAATTCAACCAAGATGAATACATTGGTTTTAAAGAAATTTAGGTACTTTCAACTTCCCCCTTTACAGTGAGTAAAGCAGTTAAATCATGCAGATGTCAGATTTATAAATACTCATTTGTATGTTCTATTTTGTTCAATTAAAGGAATAGTTGAACCAAAAATGCAATCTCTACAAAAGTTGGCAGAAATGGCAATACAGGTGATACTAACATTTAGGAAGATCAGAAACCTTCTTTGAGGTTGTCCATTAAAAAAAAAAAAAAGATTCTTTCAAAGTTCACTTTATTGGAAACTATGGAAGTGTGTTGAGGCGAGAGGGGGGGAATGACCTTTACAAACTTTTTGGTATTACTGAATTTTGGATGTGTTAAAGTTTCAGACCTTTTGATTTAAAGTAGGATATCTATTTGCCTTCTCAATTTACAGAACAATGGGAATGACTACTCATTTAGTTATGTCAGCCCCTTCATGTAAACGATCTCTCCTTCATTTCACTAAATGGGGATAAGATGTGTAAATTCCATTGTATAGTTTAAATCTACATGGGTAACAAGACTGCTGGTAAAGAAACTGTCAGCTTTTTACTGTACACATGTGACCTTAAAGCTAGGTAAAGGAAGTTTGGGCCCTAATTTCCTATATCATCCCTATTCAAATGCAAATAGTTCCTCTGAAATCAAGCTAACATCTTATATATTAAGATACTATGATTTTTAATTACCAAGTAATCAAAGCAAGCAGAATGTTCCATCTGTAAACCTGAATTCACCTAAAGTTTATACATTTATACAACAAAAGACATTAAGCAGTCTGACAATATAACTTTAAAAGCAAGGGACTCCACTTTAATATATCAAAATTTAAGTGTCTACTGGGTGCAGGACTGATTTCTCAACTTTCTTTTATTAAAGTTTACTACTCATAGCAAAGAACCCAATGTCTACATTAAACTTTGTATTCACTTATCTATACACATTCTGAAGTCAACTATTATGTTACATAATACTAGTCATGGAAATATACACAAAATACTATCCAAAGTAAAAAGTGTACAATCTTAGTCAGTTTCATTATGCCTTTGTACTGCAGGTTAAATAATTTGCTAACACAATAGTATCAGTGAAAGAATCTGGGCTCTAAGTCTTTGTGGCCAAGACATGAAATGCACAAGCCTCAGTTAGTTATTTTGCGCTTGACTTACTAATAGCTGAGTAAGATCTGCATGTGCAGCTTCTAATCTGCGTTGGCAATCTGGAATCATCATTCGAGATTCTTGCAAGATCTCAATCTGTAAAAGAAATCCATGAAACAAATGAAGAGCATTTCAGTGTTGAATACATTAGCTATAAAGCACACAGAAAGCTCACTCCTTTCTATAGTAAAGACTATTTTAAAAAATGGTTAAAATAGCTACCTCAAAGAAAATAGATACAAATCATGTCATTTTAATGACACTACATCTTAAGAGATAATTGCTTAACATTTGCATTGAGTAAATTAAAGCACATAAGAAAATGTATAGCGTATTGCAATATCCTACACATTATACCATATATATAATTAAACATGGCAAAGTAAGTGTAGTTAATGAAGTCTTTTAGAATACATTTTTCCAACTTAAGAAAGAACTGTCTGGCAAAACTTTCTATATATAATATTTATTTAAAATAAACTATTTCCCTGCTGTCATGAAGTAGCTTTATCCAAAATGGGATCAGCTGGTTATATAAATATCTCCTGCATCTTTTGGGTAATAAAGAAAAAGAGTGTTCAGATAATACCACAGAGATAATTACTGCATGAAAAAAGTTATTGAGTTATTGATCACATCGTGTGCACGCTGCAGGAGGCTCTGACTGAAAGACAAAGGCAAAGAAAAATGAAAAGCAAAGACCAGCAGGCTCATATTTTTGATGCTTATCATGCATAAAAAGTTATTACTTATCCTTCTGCTTCATTTTAGGAGAAAGATTATTCTCACCATGCAGTTCGAGCAAAATTACCAAACTGGCACCCCACTGAATCTGAACATCTTGCCTACACCTACAGAAAACAAACTTCAGAATTATACAGAAAACCCACTTATATTTCATGGAGTATTTGTGGACCTGAAATATATTCACTTTAAAAAAAAAAAAAGGCATACAGCCCTGTGCTTCAATGTATCAATTCTATTTAGAAATGAAAATCAATTAGCAAATCCAAGTGTGAAACTTGGATAATCTGTAGTGTAAAGGTTTTACTTTTAATGGTTCACATTCTTTCACTCAAAAGGATATTTTCTCCTTTTAATGTCACTACATACATGTTCTCCCCTCCTTTTGAACATATATTTTCCATTAATACTAGTCTGTCTGTCTGTGTCTCTCTGTGTGTGTATGTATGTCTTCACAAACCCACATGTATTAACCACTTGAGTAATACAGACAAATGATGCCTCATTGAATTCAATGGGACTCCACTTGTGCTTAAAATTACATATATGCTTAAAGTTACATATATGTTTAAAGGTTTTGCTAATCTGAAGCCTACATAATCTTTAGTTAAAAATTGGTTTAATGGAAAAAATTCAATATAATCTTCAGCTTCTCTTATGAGAAATTGAGAATCTTTCTACTTTAATACAACATTCATAGGTGACATTTAAAATGCAAGGGCAAGAAATTCAAAAGCTGAGATTCCGAGGAGCAAGATTATTTTATAAAGGAAAAATGGCCACATGGAGACTATATAATTAATTTTAGTGATTCTATAGAAAAATGTTACATTTTTCTGGGATTTTTTTTTAAAGTTTAGATGAATTTACTATTAAAAGACCTTAAATTGACAACACTGAAATCTAAGTTTATTCATAGACCAGATACAGCATAGGTAGTAGAAGTTCATGATAACCCACTGCATGTATATGCTCATCTATGTTTTGGAAAGAATATCTATGGAAGCAAAAGTCTGATCACCAGGCACAATCACTGACCTCGGTTGGTACTATTAACAAGTTGTACAGTATCATGCTGGCAGGCCATGTGGAAATGTGAGACTATCTTCGGAAGAAATTTCAGATGTCATCTTAGTACGACCTTCTCTTTGTAGAATGTCGTAAACGATGGGTTGGCCACAAGGGCAGCTAATTCGCTGATCCCTCTGGCCATTGCAATTGCTATCAGAAATGCTGCCTTCATGGAGAGTAGCCATGGACTCAAATGGAGGATGAGTTAATGAGTTCAGGACTAGGTTGAGATCTCAAGATGGGATTATTGGCTTTATTGGAGGAAAGGTGTTAAATCCTCTCAAGAATTTTTTTGGTGGTCAGGTGAGAGAAAAGAGTTTGTCCGTTCACCCTGTCATGCTCACTAGATAAGGCCACAAGATGTACCTTAACAGATGTTAGACAAGTTGTGTTTTAAGTGTGAGGAGATACTCAAAGACCATTGTGGTGATTATTTGTGTTGACTGTGGCTGAAGTGGGCTATGGTTAGGCCATTTTCCATTGGGAAAAACACTGCCATTTGTACAGGTAGGTTTTCCTTGTACTCTGTGGTAATTAAGGATTATGTTTCCTACTACTTCTGTGCAGGAGAAGCATTACACTGTTAACCATGAAGGAGCCTTGTGGTCAGATGAAGCTTATGAGCCTATGGATGCAGAACCCAACCCTGGTCCGAGTATACTATGTTCAGCCATAGAGGAAGAGTAATAGGAGGAGCAACTTACATCTGCGACAGGTAAGGGAACCATGTCTGTCTGGGCCATGCAGGTGCTATCATAATCACCTTCACTTGATTGTGCTTTTATCTTGTGAATGACTTTCCCTATGAGGGAAAGGGGTGGAAAGGCATACACTAGCCTGTGAGGCCAATTGCTGATCGTGGCATCACCTATGGAGTTCCTGCCCAGGTCCACCCTAGAGTAGTATTTGGGGCATTTGGAGTGGAGTGATGTTGCCGATAAGTCTATTTCCACAAAATCCCACCTGCAGAAGACGGAATTCAGGGCTTGAGGGTGTATCTTCCTCTTGTGCTTCTGGTGAAAACAACGCAACTGGACCACTGTGGCATTTTGTTCAGCTGGGAAATATACCACAGATCTATCTATTTGATGGAGTTATGCACCATATGCATAGGGCAACTGCTTCATTGCATAGCTGATGTGATCTGGGTCCGCCTTGTCGGTTTATGTAGAACGTGCAGGCGATGTTATCTGTATATACCCTGACTGCCTTGCCCTGAATTAGAGAAAGTTTTCACCAGCTCGTTACTTGAGTACGTTGATGTGCATGCTTGACTCCCTGGGAGACCATCTCCCCTGGATAGTGTGATCCGGCATATGGGCTCCCCAATCTTCCAGTGAGGTATCAATTGTGATGTGGATCGACAGACTTGGCTGGTGGAAAGGAACCCCTGAGCAGAGGTTGTTGTCTTGAACCCACCAGGAAAGGGACACTCCGACCCTGTTTGTAGGGCTGAGGATTTTGCACAATGAGTGCCTGTGTGGGTGGAGGCAAGTGTGCAACCAGGCCTGAAGAGTTCTCTCATGTAACCTTGCATGAGGAACTACGTAAGTTGTTGCAGGCATTGTCTGGCTGATATTTTGGGGCCGTGTATGACAGGTTGTGCTTATGCAGTGAGTGTGTGGAATCTTGGAAGAGGTAGCCACGCTTGTGCTTGCATGCAATCAAGCATAGCCCCTATGAGCTTGAGTTCTTGCAATGGGGTCAGGTTGGACTTCTGTGCATTTATTTGTAGCCTCAGCTCTGTAAAATGTCTGATTGTGGTTTTTGTGGATTGTTTGGCCTGCTGTTCTGTTGGAGCTACTATCAGGTAATCGTCCAGGTAAGGGAAGATTACTATTCCTGATTTTCATAGGTGTGCTACTGCCATGGCCAGAATTTGAGAAGGCTCTGGGAGCCGCTGAGTACCGACAGTATTGATTATTTAGTGTGAATCTGAAGAATTTGTGAGATGGTCTTATTGCAATATGAAAATATGTATCCTGAAGGTCGAATGCAGGAATTATCTTTGCCAGTGTTGTCATGGTAAATCACTGCTTTCTTAAGTACTTGTTCAGCCTTTGTAAATACAATGTGAGCCTCTATCCTCCCTACTTTTTTTGCGTGAGGAAGTATCTGGAGTAGATCCCCTTTCCCCTGTGACATTCTGGAATAATTTCTATTGCTACCATTTGTAGCAGTTTGTTTATTTCTTGCTGTAATGGGCTCATGAGAAGGGTCCCTGAAGAGGGACAGGGAAGGGGATTGGGTTGGTGGAAATTTGATGACTGGGATCGCTAGGCTATTGTTCAGGACCTCTAGGGCCCATTTTATTATTGCAGCCCAGGTGTTGGAAAAAGGTTGGAAAAAGGTGTTGGAAAAAGGTTGACTCTGTAACTGCTGGCGTGAGGAAACAACATCGAACCCCTGACCAGATGTTCAAAATATCTGCCTGCCATTGATGGACTGGGGTGTAGTTTGCTGATCCTGTGGCTTTCTCTGCTTCTGTTGTCTCTAGAGGCACCTCATGTCGTAGTGTCTCTGGGATAAATAGGATGCTGCTCTACCACGGGGCTTATACATTTGATTGACTTTTTTCTTCTGTTGGGGGATGTATATAACCAAGAGTTGAGGGTTGCCCTCAAGTCTTTTAGAGAATAGAGTTCAGTGTCAGTATTGGCCAAGATTAATTTCTAGCCCTCAAATGGCAGGTCTTCAATGGTGTTTTGTACTTCTCTAGAGAAGCCTAACAAATGGAGCCAACATAATGAAATCACCACCCAGAGATCATGGTTCGAAGAGACTCTGTGTATGACTACAGCCGTGGCGAGACACTTCAAAGCTGTGTTGGTCGTGACAAGAAAAGCCTGGAGGGCTGTTTTTGGTATCAAGATAGCCTCATCGATACTAGATTTGTACGCTGCCTTGTGCTTTTCTTGTAGTTTATCAATAAAAAGTCTCATCTTCTCAAAACGGTTGTATGTATATTTTTCAAGAAGACCAGAGTAATTAGCAATTCTAACTAACTGGGATGCAGAAGAGTATGAATTCTTGCCAAGGAGGTCTAGCCCGTTCCAATTTTTGTCGTATGGGCAGGGCGAGCCGAGCAGCCTCCCAGGGCGCCAACTGATGAGTGGCACCTGATGGCAGCTGTAAGGGGTGTGCAGCATCCCTTACAGCTGGCATCAGGAGCCACAAGCCCG